GCGAGCCCCCCTGCTGCCCTTGGCCTTGGATTTGGAATCCCTCCTAGGCCTAGCAAGTGGGGCTCGGGTGAGGGTGACCCCCCAGGCGGGGCAGGGGAGGGAGGCACAGTTCTGCTGCCCTTTACTTGGACAATAAGGATCACAGCATTTACCCCCTTGCTCGCTACCAGCCCCAAGTGCCTCGGGCAAAGCAGGCCTGTGTGCTGGTCACCTGGGCCGAGCGGCACGGGGGCCTCGGAGACACCAGTCAGACCCAACTTCCAGCTGTCAGTGCCTGCGCACGCTGAGCCGGGAGCCGGGGCCTTCCCCTGTGCACGCTTGGCTGGCGGCACTGCCGAAGGGTCTCCAATAGGCCCTGGCTTGTGGCATGGCTGCCCCCCAGCCCCCCGCTCATGGCAGGGGTTCTAAGGTACCCAGGTGGCCGGCAGGGCGCTGGGGGGCTCCAGTCAGCGTGGAACAGCTCATTGTAACGCAGCAGGACTGCGACTCAGCGCCACAACTCGTGCTCCCAGCCTGGGGGTAGCCCCGGTGCAGTTCCTGTGCTGTCACGCGGCACGGCTGCTGATCTCCGCACGCCCCTGCTCAGCGCTGCTCACGTCTCTACGGCTTGCATAGCCCCTTCCCCCCACGGGCCCAGGGGATCTGACATCTGCTCCAGGCAGGAGCGTGGCCAGCAGGTGTGTGCAATCAGACGGGCATTTCACACATACGCAGGGGGGTTAAAGTGTGTGTGGGGGGGACGGTCAGTCTCCACCCCTAGGAAAGTAGAGTCAGCAGTTGTGACCAGAGCAGTCGCTGGCCCAGGGCTGGGGCTTTGTGGGCCACCTGCTGGAGGACGGTTAGGGTCCCCGAGTGTCTGCACTCGCCCAGGTGGGGAGCTGGTTTTACTGCGTCGCCAGGACAGACGAGTGCAGGCATGTGCCCAGCCAGGTCCATGCTGGCGGCTCATGGTGCAGCGTAGTACCCCAGGCTGAGTGGGGCAGAGGAATTCCCCCCCCACACACACACACGGGCCCAGACGCTGTCCCGGGGAGCAGGGGCAGGGCTGAGCCCCCAGCTGAGCCCCCAGGCAGGGCAGGACCACGGCCAGACGTGGTCGCCCTGCCCGGGGCTGAGCCAGGCCCCAGGGGAGGGGAAAGCAGCTGGAAGGTGGCTGCTGGTACCAGAGATGCCTGGTCCGAGGGGGGCCATGGCTGTGGTGGGGTCTCCCCAAGAAAGCCTGAATCCCAGCCCATGGGGAGGAGGCTGAGAGGGCTCTGTCCTGGGGGCAGCAGGTTACCCCAAGGGGAGATGGGGGCCTTGCATACACCCAGCCCCAGCCTTGGGACATGACTCCGGAGGGCCCTGCCCATGTGCGGGAGCATCCTGCATCCTGGCTTCCCCAGCCCTGGGCACCAGAGCCCCAGAGACAGGGCTGGGGTACGACCAGCCTTGGAGGGGGACAAACCGACCCTGATCTGCCCAAGCGCTCCAGGGGTCCCTCCCTGCCCACTTAGGGCCAGGGCTGCGGCCGGCTGACCCCTGGGGGAAGGGGGTCGCTGCCCTCGCTCCCTGGCAGACGAGGGGGCAGGGCAGTGGCAGGACCCCAGCCCGGTTTCAAACCCAAAGGTTTGGGGTGGCAATAGAGCTTGGGGAACACATGAAAACTCTCCTGTGGCCCCTGCTAGTGTCACCTCCCAGACACCCACGGGGAGGCTGCGAACTGCTCGGAATGGTGCTGCAAGGATCTGCCAAGCGCCGGGCAGGACAGCTACCGAGGCGGGCAGTGGGGTTTGGCATCTGTCACGGACTCACAGATCATGCTCACTCTTGGCCCTGTGCGGTCCGTGGGGGGTGCCCCTTTCAGTGAGACAGCTCTTCTCGGGGGTCCACTCTCTCTCGGGGTCAGGCCCCTCCACCTCCTGGAGCCGCACCTCTCTGAGCCTTAGCACGTCTGTCTCTGCCGTGGGCCCCCTCAGGGAGTCCACTTGCTCTGGACCCCCTGGGGCTCCACCCCCGAAGGGGTTGATGCAACCCTGTTCTCTAGACCGGAGTGACTCTCAGCCAGCATAAAACAGGAGGATTTATTGAGGGTTGAACACAGCACAGGAAATTCTCAGGGCCTCAGGCCTGGCCTCCCTCAGCCCAGCACATCCCAGTCTCTCTGCATCCAGGTGGGCTCTGCCTGCTCCCCCTCTCCAGCCCCGAGCCCCCCTGCTTCCCAGCTGGGCATCTGATACCCCCGGCCCCAGGCCCCCCGCCTCTGTCCATTGTCTTCTCTCCAGGTAAACAGGGTCGTAAACCGGGGCCTCCTCTCCTCGCTTCTGTCCTCTGGCTGGAACTGTCTGGTTAGGTCACTGGGTCCTCACTCTGCAGCCCATTGTCCTCCCACTGGCCAGAACCGGCTGCACCTCCTGAGCTGGGCCTCCGGGTCGGGGTCTCCATCCTCCAGGCCATTGGCTGGGGTCCCAAGTTCCCTCTCCGGTCCTGTGTACCAACAAACTCCCTCTCCCCTCACCTCGTTAAACCAGTAACACCCAGGGAAACTGAGTCCCACCCCCTCCACATGCAAACCATTGAAACCCCACCGAAAACAAGAAAAAACAAGAAAATCCCCCACTTCGTCACAGCATCCATGGGGAACAAGCGTGGGGCCGAACTGCCCTGGTCCCTGGCCGACGTGCCCCTGCTCGGGTCTCTCGCCAGGGGAAGGGCCCTGACCCAGCAGGGACGGTCCGCGATATTGGTGGGGATGACGCGCCTGGCAGGGCCGGGTTGGGCATTGCTGCCCTGTGGTGCAGAAGAGTTAAATGCTCCTGGGGCTCAGCAGGCGACATCGGGGACCGGGGCTGTACGGAGGGGCTAGAACCAGCCCAGCTCACTGGAGGAGCTGGGATTCCTCCGAGAGACGCAGCCCAGGGGTCCCAGCACCCTCCCGAGCTTTCCAGGTGGCTGGAGCAGAGAGGGCCCCCCCCGTGTCAGCCGCTGGGGCCCAGGACCTTGGTGCCATGCCCAGGGAACCGCGGGGCTCTGGAGCAGCTGGGGACCATGCCCCCTGCCCCCATGGGCACGGCCCACCCAGGAGAGGGAACCTGAGCTGTTGCTCCAAGCTAGGCAGGGGAAATGGTGCGGAGCCTGGCTGAGTGGAGACCTGCTCCGACAGGCCCAGAGCTGGATGGAGAAGTGCAGGGGATGGGCTCCCAGGGGCTCCTGCGGGGAGGCAGTGCCCGGGGCCAGGGGCAGAACCAGCTCCGTTCCCCAGGAACGGCCACTGACCGAGGAGCCCCCAACGGGCTCTGTCTCCCACACAGATCAGTGGTGAACCCTGGAGAGCTTCCCCAGACAGGGGGCCCGTGCTGGGCAGCGCCCGGCCATCCTGGCGGGCCTGGTAGCAATGCTAGTGACACTCCCTGGCCATATCACGCTGGGCAGCCTGGATTCCCCAGATCCCTGGTCAGCGCAGAAAAGCGGCAGGCGCCCGCTGGCTGGCAGAGCTGCCAGGGCAGGGCAGGAGCTGGCCCTCGTTGCCGGGTGTATGTGGCAGAAATGAAGCTGAAGGGCTGAGCACAGAGACTTGCCTGGCTCTGGGGGTGTCCAGCGTCCCCTCCGCCTGGGCTGGGGACGGGCTGGCGCCCCCAGCGGTCCCTGCTCCAGGCAGCCAGCAGGGGGCAGCGTGAGCCTGGGCTATGGCTCTGCAGCCCCACTTCTCTGCCCCCCGTGCCCCCCCAGGGACCCCAGCAAGCCCTGGCCATACGGGGCTCTGAGGAGCCGGCTGGTGGGGGCCTGGCCACAGCCCAGGGTCAGCAAGAGGGGCTGGACCCACAGTGTGTCCTTACTACCCCCACCCCCGCTGGGGCAGCCCAGCCCCCCTTCCCTCCCTGCCCCCAACACTCCTCCCCAGTGCCCTGCCCACTCCCCGGCTCCACTGCCGGTGATCCCGGCGGGAGGAGACGGTGGTGCCGTGGCAACGCCTGCACAACAGGCCGGAGCCGCGGGGCCTGCAGGTGACTGGGAGCCGGGGCCTGGGGGTGCCAAGGACCTCGCCATGCGGGGGGCTGGCTCTCCCCGCTCCCCAGCAGAGCCTGGGGCCCCTGTGTGCTGAGCTGCGGCTCATATCCAGGGGAGACGGGGGGCCGAGTGCTGGGGTGAGGCGGGGGGTTGGCAGGGCCTGGGGCTGGCGTGGGGCAGGCTGTGGGGAGCCGTGAGCGTGGTGGGGACGGGATGGGGCCCAGTGAAGGGGGGGCACCATGGCAAAGGGTTTAGCTCCCCATCTGGGGGTCTCCCCTGCTCCTCGCCCCTCCCCCTCTGTTCTAGCTGAGTCCCAGTGGCGGGGGCAGCAGGGGTCCGGCCCCATGGAGGAAGCACCCAGCAGCCAAGCCCTCTGCAAGGGGAGCAAGAGCCAGAGGCTGCCGGGGATCGAGGAGGAGCCCCCGGCCGGTCCCCAGCCCGACTATCGGCAGCACCTGTACAGGTGAGCGAGGGAGGTGAGCCCCTCCCAGGGAAGGCTGGCAGGGTGGGGTGGGGTTGCCCCATGGAACGACCAGCCCAGCGCAGCCTCAGAGGAGACGCTGGGTGTCCTGGCAGGGCCGGTGCCCGGCTGCCTGGGCACTCGTGGGCACCAGCTGGGCAGGGACGTGGTGGGCTGGAGGCTGAGTGGGGTGGGCCAGATCCTGGGTGGGTCCTGAGGGGTGGGCCATGGCAAACTGGGTGGATCCTGGGCTCGGGGGTGGGGGTGACGCAGCAGGGAGCGGGACGGTGGGGGGATTGACCTGGGAATGTTGCAGGGGGGTTACATTGGGGATGGGGGAAGATCCCTGAGCTGGAACCTGAGCCAGGAGGGGGGTGGGAGAAGTGACACCTTCTGGCGGAGACTGGACAAAGGAGAGGAGGAGCCGGGGGGAGGGGAGAGAGCGGCTGGGGGAGTGTTTGGTTTCAGTTTTGTGCTGGGTGGTGGAATGCAGGGAACCCCAAGGCTGGGGTCTAAGCTCCCTGAACCCCCCAGACGGACTTGACTGAGGGGTCCTGGTTGTACCTACAAGCCCTGTTGTAGCCTGCGTTCCTACTGTCCACTAAACCTCCTGTTTTACTGGCTGGCTGAGAGTCCCGGTGAATCGCAGGAAGAGGGGTGCAGGGCCCTGACTCCCCCACACTCCTGGCACACCCATCGCGGGTGGGCCAGGCAGGGCGTGGGGGGTCAGGCTGCATGGTGTGACCTGCTGCCTTCCCCGCAGCCTTCTGGGCCCTGAAAGAGCCGAATACTTCCTGAGCCCGCCAGCCCCGGAGCGGTGCAGGACCCCCGGGGAGCAGGGCCTGCTGGAGGCAGTGGGAGGTAAGGTCCCCAGCCCCCTGGCCCCTGGAGCCAGCGCCCACAGCCCTGGCTGCAGATTCTGAGCCCCATGGCCTGGGTCAGGGCCTGTCTATTTCTCAGCCCCATGGGCCTGTCCCGGGCCCGGCCCATTGGCCAGGTTGGCTCCAGCCATTGGGCCCTGGCTGGCTGGATAAATAGCAGCAGCCCTGCGGCCCCCAGCCCAGGGTGAGCGCGGGCCCTGGGCTGGGGGCCGGCCAGGGCTGGGCACCCCCTGCCTGGGGCACTTGGCCTGGACACGCGCCCCTTCCCCCAGGGGCCGGCGCTGAGGAGCTCTGGCGAGTCCTGCACGAGGAGCCGCAGCGCCGGCGGCAGGCGGCAGAGGCCAGGATGGGGCGGGCAGTCGCCGAGCAGGTGAGGGGATCCTGGGCTGGGGCACGGCTTGTCCCTGCATGTGGGGTTGCCATGGGTGGGAGCGGGCTTTGCCCTGATTCCGACCCCACAAAGGTGGTCCCCCCTCGGGGGTTCTGCGGTAGGGTTACCATACGTCCGGATTTTCCCGGACATGTCTGGCTTTTGGGGCCTCAAATCCCCGTCCGGGAGGAAATCCCCAAAAGCCGGACATGTCCAGGAAAATAGGGAGGGAGGGAGGGTTCGTGGGGCTTGGGTCCGGGCTGGAGCCGCTGGGGCCGGCGGTGCTCAGCCAGGGCCGGTGCCGGTGCCGGGCCGGAGCCGCTCGGTCGGAACCGGGGCCCAAGCCGAGCTGGGCCGGAGCCGCTGGGACTGGGGCTGGGGGTGCCCGAGCCGCTGGGGCTGGTGGTGCTTGGCCAGGGCCGGGGCCGGGGCCGGGCCGGGACCGGGGCCGGCGCCCCAGGACCCGAGCCGAGCCGGGCGGGAGACGCCAGGGCCAGAGCCTCTTGGCCTGTGCCGGCCGGCCGCCAGAGGGAGCCGCTCGGCCGGGGGGCTGGGCTGGGCTGGGCTGCGCCCTGCCCCCGCCCCAGGTTACCTGCTGCCTCCCTGTTTCAGGCTTCCCGCGAACATTTGATTCGCGGGAAGTAGGGGAGGGGGAGGAGCAGGGGGCGGAGCGTTCAGGGGAGGGGGCGGAGTTGGGGCGGGGACTTTGGGGAAGGGGCGGAGTTGGGGTGGGGCTGGGGCGGGGAAGGGGCGGAGTTGGGGCGGGGCTGGGGCCCTGTGGAGTGTCCTCCTTTTTTAAAATTAAAATATGGTAACCCTATTCTGCAGGAGCCACCCTGTCCCTGACAGGGCACCACGGCTGTATGGGCTGGGGACCCCCATGTCCCCCCCTACATGAGGGCCCCATGCCCCTCCCCCACCTCGCTACATGAGGGCCCCCCTGCCCCTCCCCACGTGTGGGTCCGTGGCTGGGTGTTGAGCTCTGTCTCTCCCCACCACCCCGTGACGCTGCCCCCTGCAGGTGCCCTGGCTGGGACGCGCTGCTCTCACGCCCAGGATGCAGCGGGTGGCACGGTGGAGGCGGCAGCTGCATGTGATGCACCGGCTGGGGGAGCTGCACCAGGACGCAAACAGCCTGCTGCTGGCCAGGGAGCCGCTCGCCGACCTCAGCGACAGCTGGGGGGCGCAGGGGCCGGCCCGCTATCTGCACAGGGCCCTCCAGGGAGGTGTGTGCGGCTGGGGGGGTGCTGGCAGAGGGCTCTCGGCGGCCATGGGCGCGTGGGTAGGGCCGGCTTGCTGGTGCAGAGCTTAGCATTTACTGTCAGGCAACGCATCCGGTCTGACGTGCAGCTCCCTGCCGGCGCGTGCACGCATGTACACGTGTGTCTGGGGGTGCCTGCATGTGTGGGCATGCACATCTGCATGTCGTGCAGGGAGACGCGTGTGTCTGGGG